AGAACATTACAATTTGGCTATTGCCAAAGTAGACTGAAACTGGATACTGGAGATTCTGCATTGACGTTTCCGACTGTAAACAAGACATCAATTCATATGCGTGTGCTGTCAAAGTCACTTTGTCATGCGTCATTCACATTAATGCTTTGACTGATTGTGGTGAACAGTGGTGAGATTGGAAACGCCATACATTTTATATACATTATTTGCTTGGGAATTATATTTATTTATTTTCTTTTATTGTTGATATTCGGGCTCTGCAAAGCCTAGGCTTCATCCACGATTTGTTATTCAAAGAAATATTTTGAAAAAATTGTGAGTTTGCACTGTCAACACTTGTGTGGTTTTTCATATGATTTTGAAGTCATCGAATATTGTCACCCGTTCATACATTCGATGAACTTGCTACACCAAGTGTTAGTATAGTTCATTGCTGACGTTTTCCAATCCACCATACGTATTTATACGTGTGTGTACATCAAAATGTCAAAGTTGTCAAGAATCCAACCGTTTTCGTCGTTCCTTGGAACCCATACATCGATGAAAAAATTGCACGAGTTGAATCGATCCAGAAGCAGTTTTTATTGTTTGCACTGCGCAAAATGAAGTGGCCACACAGATTCAGGAAGCCGCCATACGAATGCCGACTGCTTGAATTACAAATGATTACGCTGGAAGAGCGGAGAAAGATAGCACAAATATCACTTGTCTACAATGTGATATGTGGAAATACTTCATCGAAATACATTTTGACCAAAATAAGTTTTAAAACACCGCAACATTGGACAAGAAACTTAGATTTCCTTTCATTACCGACGCATCACAATTGCTATTCCAACTTTGAACCTATCAATTATATGTTGAGTACATACAATGAATTTTATAAATACTTTGTTCCTATCAAACCGCCTAATTTACCAGATGGATGTAATATTACTACTATTCCGAATTGTGATACTTATTTAATTGATTTTAACACCAGTACAAATACTGTAAAACAGAGAGTAGCTGACTATTTTAAGAGAAACAGAATTTGGAGAGAGTAAAGTCAAATAGAATGAATTATTATCCCATTGTAAATATTGTAAATATAACAAGTTTTATTTATGCTAAATAAACCACCTCTGGCGAAAAAACGCTGTATGGTGCAGAATAATAATAATAATGAAGTTCATGTTCGTTCATGTTCAATTCGAACGAACTCGAACGAACATGAACTTTTCAGTTCAACTGGTAGCTCTATTCCCTATCCATTGGTTTTATCGCCACATCGAAATTCGACCTCCTTATCACTTAATTTGCAATCTGTGATAAATGCGTCACCGAAAAATATTGTATTAAAGAGTGCCCCACGAAAAATGTTCGATTTGAATCGCCAATAAAAAAAACTAAAAACTTCTTATGGCCAAAAACTCGCAAAGCCAAAAAATTAGGGTGACCTTCCCCACCCAGGGTGACCCAAATATTGAAAAAAATGGAAAATGGCACTTTTTTACATTTTCACACTAGAAAAGTGTGGTACAAACTTTCAAAACTATATGCATGGTTGGATAGATAATCTATGGGGCTACAAAAAAGTCCACTAGGACCACCCCATCCGGGCCCATTCAGGCCCTGAAAAGTGGGTTCAAAGTATAAAATGTGAAAAAAGTCAATTAGACGTGGTTTTATTTTTTCAATTTTTTGGGCTTAAATGGTAGGCAACCTCAAAATCTAAAACATGGTGAATCCGAATCTCTACTAGCACCTTCTAAAAATGTAAAACAAAAATTTTATGTAAGAACCGTGTCCCGTTTTGTATGGAACTTGGGCCATTTTGTATAGAGATGTGACGTATACTATACTTAAAGGGCACAGTGCGTAGATCAATTATATATAGGTACCCAACCCCTAAATCGAAGGGAAAGGGGTTAAAAAGGGGGTTATATGGATAACCTCCAAAATGAAGGCATCACTTTCGAGGGCCATGGCTCCCTAACTAAGGGAGGTAGGGCAACACTCCTTGGGTCAAAATTGAAGTACTCGAGATTACCTATCCAACGGTATACATAACATTCACATTTGTTTATATTAAAGTAAAAGTACCGTTACATGAAAAAACGTTAATTTTTTGGGTGAAAAAGTCATAGTATTATACCCATTTTCTGGGGCTGGGGCAGGGGCTATCACTTGGGTATGTTCAACAAAGTTGTACAGCGTTCCAAGGGGAACAATATTGCTTCAAACTATTTTGCCCCATCTCCTTCAATAATGGGTCTACGGCCCTTCACTCTCATAAAATTTTAGCCTGGTACAAAGGGCGGTGTTCCTTTTTGTGTCGTACGATGTTTATCAATAAGACTTATACCGTGGAACAGTGGGGCGTAGTGAGTATGTCGATAATATCAAGGTTGACCTGCCCTACAGGGTGTTATAGGGGTGAGTAATTTTTTCAATACCGACACATTGTTGGTCAAGAAATAAACCATTTAGAGGATAACTAGGTATAGACGAAGTGTTCAGGACGTTGCATAGTATCTTGGGTGAGGTCGCCCTCCATCCCTTTGGCCAAAAAAAGGGTCAAACATGTCTCATATGTTTGTTTTGGTGATTTTGTGCATTTTTTGGCCCTCTTTCGGGCCAAACGGTGGAGGGCGACCTCCTTTACGAGTTTTCCAAATATTATAGTGATTTGGGGCCAAAAGCGGGTTTCTGCCCTAAATTTGCCCCTGAATAGTGATTTTCAGTGGAAAATCGACATTTTGAGCCTCCCCTGTCCCTCCAAAGGAGAGAGCGGCCCCAACCAATGGTATTATTTGATTCGTCGGAGTCTGCTGGGCATTTCATCAGAACACACCACCATCGTCAGACCACCTAATGGTGTGTAAAGAAATTATATAGCCAAAAACCCTGTGAAAATGGTGAGATCAAAATTACATAAAAAAATTTTTCTACATTTTTAGAAGGTGCAAGTAGAGATTCGGATTCACCATGTTTTAGATTTTGAGGTTGCCAACCATTTAAGCCCAAAAAATCGAAAAAATAAAACCACGTCTAATTGACTTTTTTCACATTTTATACTTTGAACCCACTTTTCAGGGCCTGAATGGGCCCGGATGGGGTGGTCCTAGTGGACTTTTTTGTAGCCCCATCGATTATCTATCCAACCATGCATATAGTTTCGAAAGTTTATACCACAGTTTTCAAGTCTTAAAATATGATAGAAGTGCCATTTTTCGTTTTTTTCAATGTTTGGGTCACCCCAATTTTTTGGCTTTGCGAGTTTTTGCTCATAAGAAGTTTTTACACCAACTTTGAGCGAAATCGGAGTGGTCACTTGCAAATTTTGTCCCGCTTGGTGTGGAATCGTCGTAAAAACAAATTCACGTGTCGTTTATTCAGACAATACTTTTACTGAATTTTTCTTCAGGGGCACTTCATTTTATTGGGTGTGTGCAAAAGTTTCCGCCCTTTTTTGCAATATGCGTATGAGACAAATTTTAAATTTTTCTGACAATCATAGCAATTGTATGTTAGAGAGCACGTCAAAATCTATAAAAATTGGCCCACAATACTGGGCAGAGGTTAACATAATTAATTTTTTTCTTCCTGAAAATTTTTTGGAACACCAGGGGTGGTGTAAATTTATCAAAGTATCAGAATTTATCGTTTCTAATAATAATCAATCGGCAATATACCGATTATTGACAGCAGAACCACCAAAATTTGACCCATGTCACAAAAAAGTCGTTTTTTGCGAAAAAATGGATCAGCGGCATTTCACAGAACACATCAAATATTTCTTAGGAGGTCCTCGAATAAGATTGGCTTGATCAACCCGCATACTCTCCAGACCTTGCTCCTTCTGACTACCACTGGTTTAAGACATTTCAAATCCACTTTAGTGGAGAACGGTACACTTCTTTTCGAAAAAGTTAAAAAATGCGTCGATCCTTTCATAGGGTTAGAAGTACCGTTAGTTTTTCGAGATGTTCTATGTAAATTGCCTGAAATATAGGCAAAGGATGTCGCTTCCCATGAACTATATTCTCATTAGTTTATACTTTCATTTTATTTTTGAAATAAATGTATTTTTGAACAAAAACAGGGCGGAAACTTTTGCACACAAATTTTTCCCAATACAAAAGAATTACGTTTCGTTATTCCACTTGCCCATTCATATTTACATGAAAATCATTCGAATGAATTTGAATATCGAAAAGGGCTCTCTGAATTTGGGCCGCGACACTTACGGCCGCCAGTACATTTTTGTTTGCGGCTGTAAGTGATTTCTGATAGCGGCCAAAAGTGTCTTCACAAAATGTACTTACGGCCGCTGCGTCCGAAAGTCCGTTTTGAGTGCGGCTGTAAGTACATTTCCCCATAATCACTTTGAGCCGCCGCGGCCATAAGTGTATCTTTGATGCGGCTTAAGTTTATCGGGTAATTCGAATTGTATTTACAAATATATCTAGTAAGAGTACACCTTAACTCTCGCTCGTTCATTTCACTCTTTTGCAATATTATTTTAAAGAAAATGAAATAAATTTTCAGTGCCAATAGAGGTGGATAGGATAGCACAGAGGACCTTCATTCGCGCGCGCGCTCATTCGGTCCTCTGTGCTATCCTATCCACCTCTATTGGCACTAAAAATTTATTTCATTTTCTTTTAAAAAAAATGGTACGATCAACAAAGGTGGGGAGTTCCACCTCCACATTTTCATTTCAATATTTGTATCTTCATCCGAATATAGAGTCTACAGTACCTTAAATAACGTAAAACCGCTTAAATTCAACGTGTAAGTCACGCGGCTTTAAGTACATTTTCAGTGCGGCTCAAAGTGATTTCTGAGAAAAACACTTAAAGCCGCGGCGGCCGTAAAGTATTTTTAACAGCGGCTATAAGTGTTTTTCTTATAATTCACTTTGAGCCGCGCGGCTGTAAGTGAAATTTGACTTGCGGCCGTAAGTATCGCGGCCCAAATTCAGAACTCCATCGAAAAGTGTGCATTTTATGCTTTCAAGAATGAATTTTGATATTTACCTGACTGAATTTCGATTGGGTGTCCAAAATGTCGATGAACAATTTCATACGATCATCCATGATTTGAACGCCATTTCGAGGTTGTTGTAATAAATTCTGGACAGCTTCACGAATCGAACCAGGTGTAGTACTGCATGAGCTACTGTCCGCAGAATCCGAAAATGAATTATTGTTGATTTTTCCTTGGTTTGTTGAATGTTTCAACACGTCAGAACATTTTCGAAGGTATTCAATTGTCTCCATAGAATGTGTATTATTTGTCATTTGACAAAATTTATCCAAAATTTGATTAAAATCCATACGTTCAGTCTTTTTGCTTGTGATGCTCGGCATAGCCTTTTGAATGAGAACATTCTTTTGAGGAGTAGCCACTGCCAATGCTTCTAAATCTTCATTCATAATTCGTAAGTTATCCGAGAGTTTAGAAAAACTGTTATTCACATTTGTACTGATTTGATACTGACTGAAATTCGGCGTTGATTTCGAACGGGAATGTTCCATTTTCTCTTTAAATTTACTGAAACGGTCGGCTGCACTTGATAAGTCAGACTGATCTTCCTCTGGGAGTTGATTTGAACGAATTGCGTCAAGAAATTGACGCAATTGATCAGATGGAGTTTTAGCTTCAGTCACTGTTTTAGTTGAAATACCACCATTTTCACTTGTTTTTGGAAGTGGCGTCTTTTGTGTTTGATTTATGGACGAAGATGAACTTGATATCGGGGCTGGAGGAGATGGTTCGACATGTTCAATTTCGTTCATTTTATGGCGAACACTATCCAAAAAAAGCCGCAAATTTTTCGATGATATTACCATGTCATCAGCTTTGGTAATGAACAATGCCGTAGTTTCTTGAGGAGATGATAATTCAAGCTGACGATTTTTTTCCATTTGCTGTGTACGTTTCATTTCGGAGAGAATTTTGGCCTGCTCGGAATACTTTCGAACACTTTCCGTTATCGAGCGGAGTTGCTCCGAATACATACGCAACTGATTCTCTAGATAGTTTTGCTCTGGTAATGTGCCATATGCAAACGATACTGGACGATCGGCTTTTCGTGTCAAAGTATTACTCTGACATACATTCTTATTACCACTTAAACTACTATTACTATGGCTCGTGTTCGTTGTATGTCGATTCAGTTGACCATGGAAGGTGGCCGATTGACGTATTCCACCAGCTAATGTGCTAGACACAGATCTTTGTTGGAAGGATGAACTCGTGGGCGGATACTGGACTGAACTTGGCAATTGAATTTGTTGTATCTGCTGCGAGAAGCGACGACTTGGAGGTATCGGTGGAGGTCGTGAGTGACTCATGGCAGCTAAGTCATTGAAACTATAACATAATGGAGTATTAGGAATGCTGTGAAAATGGCGAACATTCGGAGGAATCCCCTAGATTGAAAACTGTTTTGAATCGATTTTTAAACCTAAAGAACAAATCAAACGAAATTAAATTGCGGTTTGCATTTTTGAAAGATTCCATTGATTCGAACGATTTTTCAATGCAGTGATTCCCTTTGTTTCTATTAGACTTTTTGCTATCCTAAAAGACTTTCAATTTACCTAGCTCGGTCTAAGCTACGCGGACGAACAGGTATGCCATTATTGTTAACAGTTGATGGCGTTGATTTGTTAGTGTTATCCGCAGAAATGCCCAGCAAAACTGCTGACTGTACGCGTGGTGTGCTATTTGAGCGCCTTTGTACTATTGGAGGCGGTTGTCGATTTTGCCCCGACTGCGGATTATTATTGGAGGTATTGTTGATACTTGTAACAGTGGCTAACAGTGGTGAATACAATGAAAAATCCTGTGATGCCTGTTGTCGATTAGTTGTTAACCGAGATGGGCTATTTATAAAGTGACCGTATGATACATGTTTCAACGCTTGTTGTGCATACTCATTATTTTGCGGTTGATTGAACACTTTTTGTGCATTTTGGTTACAGTTTCTCACATTGTTCAACGTGTTCATTGAGCTTTTCATTGCACTATTGTTCGACACAGGAATATTGTTATTTGGAGTACCGTAGCTGTTGCTGTACGTCAGCGTCGTTGTGGCGGCTGTTCGAGGAGCCGCTCCTGCTGTTATCAAACTGGTCAACTCTCCTTTGTTTTGATTTAAAACCGATAGTCGAGCAAGAGAGTGTCCAGATGAAGGCGAAAACGATGCAGCGGATAATGCGCCAGCTATGCTATGGGGCCTATTAGGTCGATTATGCAATATATTATTATCGATATCGTTGATTCGACCATAATCACTGCTTCCGTTTTCTTTTTCATTGTTGCCAGAAGCAACATAGTTTTTCATTTGCTGACTTTTTATCACATTGCTTAGGTTTAAAATGGAAGCCGATTGGGACATACTGTACACACAGACATCGTTGTAAGATGGTCTATCATTATTGCAATTGACCAGTGGCAGCTCCTGTGATAACGATGAAAACTCACCAAAATGTGTTACAAACGGATTATCCAAATGCAGCGATATTGTTTCTTCATCAATGTACAACTCATTGGAAGAAGCAGTTTTTGATGCCGATAATCCACCATCACGCCGCGATAGACCAAAGCTATTTGTTTTTTCATCATCATCGAGGCCATTGTTATTGAATTCCCCCTGATTTGATTCCTTTTGATCTAACGTCGTCTTATTATTATTTCCGTTGAAAAATCCATTTACTGAAATTTGGCAACCGATTAGCTCTGTCTGGCTTAAATTTATCGCTTTCTGATTAATTATTGATGTTCCACTCACTGTGATTGCATCATTCAAAGACAAGATTTTATCATTCAATTTAACAGAATCACCGCTATTATTGTCAAAATTATCTCGAGTATTTCCATTATGAAAATGAGTCGTTGATTTCATATTTAACTTTACATTCACTGATTAAACTTCCACTTCTAATAACACTTGGCTTTTTGGGTCCTTACAATTTGATTACAGAAATATCTTTAAATCTCACTAAACAATATACACAAATACACATCGATTACGGTTTTTTTTGTGTCAATAGACACCACGGCACCTACAATTTCTTCGGATATTTGAATAACATTTAAAGTTTACTTTCCTTAAAATAGGTGTGCAGAGAAAATCTCACTTGCAATTACAAGTTGTTCATTTAGGCTGGATTTGACGCATTGAGCAGAATCTATTTCAATCAAGGTTGAACAACTGCTCTAGCAAGCAACTTATTATATTAACTTATTATCAATATTTTAGTGCGAAAATATCAGACAAAATATACGAATTTATTTTCAAAATATTAATTTATATTTGCACATTCAATCGTAATTGAATACATTTTACAGAAAAATTGCATTTATGCCTTTCTGTTGAAAGCAAAATATGGAAATTGAAATCATGACTTTAACAGCGCAAATACCATGCCTTTCTCTGCATCGCCAACTAAATTCATTTTCATAATTTTCACATTCAACACCCTCTACTCAAATTATTTTCGACCATGGTTGCCTTCCGGTAACGCACAACTTTCAAAAGACTTCTCTCTGTTGGTTTTTTGCATATAATTTTTCGTTTTCCTCCTGATACGAGAACCGATGCGTTGTGGTCGTTTGTGTTATTTTTAACTAAATCATAATGAGAATAAATTGTAGAATATTAAAATTTATTGAATTCAAAGCCGCGAACAATTCAGCAGCTGGATACATGTGGCAAATTGATTGATGATATTTATGGTCTTCATTGTGACCGACAGGAAAACAAGACACAAAAAGCTTTACGGAAAAATAGATTGACTAATAATATAATATGCCCATCTGATGTCAAATTAGTATTAGTTGGCATCATTGTTTGACTGAAGATGAATTTGACCAGAAGAAACAAAAATTTCATTCTGCACGAATATTGGCCTCGCTTAAAGGAATATTGAAAACAGTTTCCAAGTACTTTTTTTTAAAAGAAATTCAAATATCCGTTGAAATTCAAATCAATTTCGAAATACCGATAGTTTTGCAATGGAACATACATTTGATGCTATTTGTGTGTTTCACAATAAAATTGAAGAAAATTAAGCATCGATCAAATTACAACTCTTCTTGGGTTTTTCAATTCATTAAACGCACTTAATGTACTATAACAGTTAAATTCATAAACAATATGCACGATCACAGTTTAAAAATTCCAATTACACAGTTCTGTAATGTTCTTTGTGCACAACCAATTAAACTTATCTTGATATGTAAGTATTAGGGCTTTGTTTTGCCTTTCGGTTCAAAATGCGTTTGCATATGTACGCGTTTTCGGTTTCAATCCATAACTACATATTTCAGCTTTCCACAAACTTCATCGTTGTTTTGCTACTTAATATATGTATGGCGCGGTTTCTTCGGTTGTTGTCTAACGTTTAAATTTTTTATTCACATTTATTTAACGAGCGTTACGAACTAAAATGAAAATAGTGTTGCTTAAAGCATATCTACGCTCAAACTGGTCCAGTTGTTCTTTTACAATCTCAGTTGAAGACGGATTTTCAGATTTTGTGAGAGCAGTTGAGAGTTACTGAAGTTTTCCACTCACATCACAATCGCTTACTCTGCGCCGCTGTGAACATACACATCTACATTGAGTGCACAATCATGCACATCTACATTGAGTGAAAAACAGGATTCGGTTGCCTGTTCAACCACTAAAAGAGTAGAAAACACATATGAGTAAAAATTTCTAAGGGGTAAAGAGCGGTCGTGCTGCAAATTATGTTTCATTATATTCTTTTGGAGCATTCGAAAAAGTATAAACCGTGAACAAATCAGTGTTTAAAATTTTACGCACGCATTCGCATTAATCGGATGTAGGCGATAAAGCAAAACATATGTTTTGTGTATTTCAGAACTCTTTGAAGATGAATTACGGTAAAGAACAATCACGGCTATAGTTGTAATTATTTTAGATTTTCATTTGATATACCGACCATTCCTGATTATGTATTTCCTCTTTTCGGCCGTTTTTAGATGCAGGTTTGCCACTGGTTAGTTATTTCGGCTATTTCAAGCTTTTATAGCTAGAACGCAAAGTAACCAACACGAATCATCACAACAACTTGGAAATGAAACAAAAACAGTTTCTGAATATCTATGTGTGAGAGTTGTACAGTTTGTTGTGAAGACACCAATTCAATATTTCTTGTCATTAAAATGAAAATCGGCGAAAATCTCAAGCAAAACATACTCCACTTTATCAAAAGTCATCAAAAAACATACACTACTCTCAATCTCATAAATTAAATTCGACGCTAGGGTTAGACACGGGATTTAAGATTTGTAGAGATTCATAAAAATTTAAAAAAATCGTTGCGTATACAAGTAGTGCCAAGAGTTATAGAGATTCTCGAAGATCGGTAACGATCGACCGCTTTTTTTGTAGCTATTTGGTTCAGATTTTCAGCTTTTTCAGCTATATTTCATAAGGCGATAGCATGAATGAAAATGCGGCAGGAAAAATCAGCAAAAGCCTTGAATGTTTCAAACGCTTCGGATTGATGGCGCTGTCAGAAGCTCTCTGAAGCACATTAGAAGTGGTGAATGTGATTATGACAGATAATATTTGTATTTACGTTTAGAAACGTTGACTGTCAAAGTAGAGAATGTTCTGTCAATATAAACCAAAATACCAACATGGCGGGCTAAAATGCTGTCATGGCGGATTTCTTTCTCATTAAACTACACATGAAAATATCACAAAAACGGCTGGGAAAATCGGCA